CCGCCGATTCTCTTCGGTGTTTTTTTTTTTGACACGAACCCCACGGCCCAGGCGGGCTTGCCCACCGCAGCCACGCCCCTCTCTGTGGAGCAGGGCATCCCCGCCGCGTCTGGCCGTGCGGGCATCACCACGGCCAGTTGCCCCGCCCTCCCAAGCGGTCGGGTTCTCCGGCTCTAGGGCGTCGGGGCCGGGGGCTGGCCCGATGCCCGATCACGTCATATTGTCATGTGTAGCTCGATTAAGGCGTTAACCCAGAACACAGCCTACTCAGCCCACCATCATCTATGATTCACCATCGTCGGCCCCCGGCGCCCGGGGAGCCCCGCCAGCGCGAGTGCACGCACACGGCACTGGTATCCTCTTCTCGCTTCTGCCGAGATCCGCCCACGCCCCGCCCACCCCCTCCTCCTCCCCCCTGGTCTGCCCGGCGGCCATTTGCCCACCCAGAGTGCGGTACGAGCATATGCGCATGTATGTGCTTTGGGCCATTCCATCTTATGTGGCCAAAAAAAGAAGAAGAAGAGGAAGGAGGCCACAAGGCTGCCGGGGGGACTAAAGTAACACGGCCATGACAGTGATGATGGTGCAAATGGAGACGAAGGGAGCCCATGTCCGGACAACGCCATTCACCCTGGGCGCATGTGAGACCCCCGCCAACAGGGCAAACCAGGGTGTTAGATCGATCGCCGGATGGTCCCCTTGGAGGCAAGGCGCAATGTGGCAGGAAGAAACGCAAGGGTGCCGGTGGGGAAAAAAAAGAGGAGAAATGAAAGATGCCCCCCCCCCCCCGCACCGACAATAACAACAACAGCAACAACAGCAGCAGCAGCAGCAGCAGCAGCAGCAGCAGCATACCCATCGTATCGCCCGGAGAAGAAGATGAACAGCGCCAGCCACACTTGGTTCCACCGAGATCCAAGCGGCGGATACGACGGCCCGACACTCTGCCAGGCGGTCGGGTTCCGCAGGCCCGGCACATGGCACGACCCCATGGCTGTCAAGGGGGCCCCGCCGGATGGGGGAAGGGGAGGCGTTGCAGATGGACCACCGACCGGCGGGCAGCGACACAGCCGGCAGCCGGTTTCCCGGCGAAGGTCCGCCACATGGACCGGCGGACGGCCATCCTCATTGGCGGCGCCAACCACCGGCGACGACCGGGGCAGCGAGCGTCCACCGGAGAAGCAACTGGCAATCCGCGAGAAAAAGCGCGCCACCCGACACGGCACACGGATGCCCAACACATTCAATGCCACGGCCACATGGGAGTGGCAGTTTTGTCGCCAGAGCCGATGCTGAGATGGGCCGGTCAGGCGTGCGGGGAGGGGGGGAGGGGAGAACGCCTGTCAGCGGATCGGCAGGCAAGGCGGGCAAAGGAGGGGGGACGGGCGGGGAGGGGGACAAAATTTTCATGCGCACCGTGAGGCGGGAAAATTCCCGATTCGCACGGGCAATCGAGTAGTTGCCGATCAGATCGATGAGCCAGCCGGAGTCGAGAGGCAAGTCGGAGGAGGGGGCCATCGGGCCCGGCGCCATCAGTGCCGCCGTCACTGCCAGAGCTCCGGGTGGCGGCTGCTGCTGGAGATGCGCCAGCGCCGGGGCCGGAGCCGGTGCTGGGACAGGCTTGCCCTGGTGGTCCTGTCGGTCGCCGGCCATGGCCTCCACCACGGTGGCCAGATCCTCCGGCAGCCGGACGCCATCACATTCCTGGCAGAAGTAGGTCGAGATCCGGTCCACGCTCAGGGGAACATACCGCGCCGGTGGCCCGAGCATCATGTTGTCATACTGCCATGCACGGCAGGGAGGTCAGAACGCAAGCCAGTGCAAGGGACCCCTCGAGGAGGCAGGGCGGCGGGAGCCGAGAGGAGCGTACGCTGACATATTGCGACCCGGCGAAGTCACTGATCTTCCCGTGCGCATCTGCAATGCCAATGTGGCCGATCACCGGACACAGCCAGCTGCGCGGGGCCAAGTAAGGGGAGAGAGAGAGATTGGAGAGGGTTAGGGCGGGGGAGGGGCCTGCGAGAGGCAAGCAAATGGCGTGTCCCCCGGAGGCCACACAAACAAACACATAGCTGCGCAGGGAGCAACATACGAGATGAGTGGCAGCGGGGTCCACACCAAGGCGAAGCGGAAGGGATGATCCGGCCCAGGGGTCGAGTCGTGCGCATCCGCCCCCAGGACCGGGACATCATCGCCGGTGCCCCGGGGGTGGTGCCCGCGCGAGCTCGACCGCCCGCGCGGTCGCCACGGCGCGTCTCGCGAAAAGCACCCGCAGTGGCTGGCCGCCGCCTGTCCGGGGCACACGAGCGGGTGGCAGTGCTGCGTCACCATCACGAGAAAGGGAGGGGGGGGGCACGCGCGGAAGAGGGGGGAAGGGGGGGCCGAGGGAGGTGGCGGGGGGCGAGAGGCGCAGGAACAGGGTGGGGAGGGGTGCCAGACCGTCCAGCCGGCGGAGAGCGCGAGACCTCGGCAAAAGTGCCCGGAAGAGCCCACAAGCGCCGCCCCCCCCCCCC